GTACCGCGATAGGCGTCATTACGATATGGTAGTTTGGGTCGTGACAATGTACGAGGATTATTTTTAAAGTTGTATACATTATCACCGTATTTATACAATACAATGAGATTTATCGTGAGTAACTATATATTACCTTAAGTATTACTGATAATCCAAATAAAAGTCGTACATAAGTTACTGGAATTTTTTTTTACACCGAGTGTTGCGCAATATATAACTTAAATCTGCGAGGAGTTTAAGAAAATGATGTGTAATAATAATAAATAAGCTTGGCTTTTTTTCCGTCCTTCGTTATTGAGTGGCTGATTACGGTAAGGTACACCGAATTTTGGTGCATCCTCCGGTAGTGTGTAATTTTTTTGATCTAATAAGTGGCACAACGTTCTTGGCTTCCTATCAACTTTATATATCCACTGCTAGTCTATGTCAAATTTTAATGCGGATAAATATCTTTCGATTTAATTAATTGCTGGATTAATTCGGAGTTGTGTTGTTTAGTAATAGATTTGCTTACTGTATGTTCATATAGTATTTGTTTATTGTATGATATCCATTAAAACTCGTCAAGGTGCTACCTACATTGATGATAGGCTATAATTATGTATCTTAGTCGCTTATTACACTCTAATTTAATGTACTTTAATTGAGTTTGAGCTTTAATCACTAGTGGTTTGCACTAAATATGTGTTTTATGCCTTGTAGGAGTGATTCCGATCGTTGTAGATGTTATGGAATGAATTCAAGCTATTCTAGAGCTTTGAAGTCTGAGTAAAAGCCCAAGGATTAAGTTGGGATCGTGTTCGGAGATCAAAGGATGATAGTGCACTTTAAGAACGAAACGAAGAATCGAGCAGGCATACTGCGCATTGCTAGCAAAATGCACATAACAAGCTATTCTGGAGCTTTGAAGTCTGAGTAAAAGCCCAAGGATTAAGTTGGGATCGTGTTTGGAGATCAAAGGATGATAGTGCACTTTAAGAACGAAACGAAGAATCGAGCAGGCATACTGCGCATTGCTAGCAAAATGCACATAACTTTTCGCTTAGAAATCCGTTTGGGCTTCACAATATATTATTGGAAAGCTATTTAAAAGGGCTACAACTTTTGTGTTTTACATTTTTCCAAATTTCTACATCCGCGCCGCGTGGGGCACCGCGTAGCGCACCGCAGCTGTGTAAATTGCTGATGTCCTCAAATTGCATGCTCTCTGAAGTTCCTCACAAGCACACCGAGTAGCACGCCGCCCCATGCGGCGCACATGTGTAAATTTTACAGAGCCAGAGTCCTATTTCGTGCAGGAAAAGGTTTTTCGTCTGGGCCCGACCCTACTTGGTATAAATACATGTAAAAACGCTATTTTGAGGACTTTTGACACACTTTAGGCCTAGGGAGAGCAGGGAGCCGCCGTGGAGACTGGGGATATTCGACCTAAGGATGAAAGAACACACTAGGAGCAAGGCGGAGAATTCTTCTATGAGTTTTTCACTTCCTTCTTCCTATTTTCATTATCAGTTATGAATTCTAGTATTGTAGTTATGCATACCATTATGAATAGCTAATTTGTCATCTAGGATTTGGATGGAACCTCTTGAAGGATAATTTTTCTGTTACGTTAATCTATATTTGCCGTAGCTTTTCTCTATTTGTTCAACTACGTTTATATTATGGTTGGTTGAAGAGCTCTCAACCAACTGTGCCTATTTAGTGTGTATTACTCGGTAGAGAGTGCATATTTAGGTAGTTGTTGAACAACATCACTCCTAATGTATATGAATGATCAATACGAAGGGTTTAAAGGTGGGATTAGGAATAACTAAACCGTGGTGCGATCCGAGTGAGCCGTAACTTAGGTGGGAAGGAATAACGAAACCTTGGTGCGATCCGAGTGAGCCGTAACCTTGGTAAGAAATTTTGGTTTTGAAAAATCAATCATTAGGGAAGAAGAAGAAGAATACAATAAGATACTTTGCACTAGGAGCGATGACGCCGCCATGGAACTCATGGAACATCAAGCAACATTGCTTGTTCCAGAACAATATCCTACAAAAATTATAGATCAATTACAATGAAGCTATATAGTAACTTACAAATATTAGTATGATATATTAACACAATTTGTAGTACAGCATGCATTAGGCCACCTGATCGAGTATCTAACGTAGTTTAGGCATACAGAACCTTAGTTTTAAAAATAATGCCCTATTAGGCGCTTTAGCTTGGCTCTTATTCAAATCACCCTCCACACTATGGGCATCCCTACTCCTAAACAAATATACTGTCAAGCTCCCCCCCATCAAAAACATCAAATATCTGGAAAGCTATACAACTTGGAGGGCAATGTTGGCAACAAGGCTTGGTATGGCATATAGCTACAGGTCAGCACATGAAATTCTGGACGGACCCATGGATGGGATCCAATATTATACTTCGAAACCTCATTCAGGGTTCTCTACCAAGAAATGAGTTATACTCTACGGTCCAACATTATTTGACTCGCAATAACATGAATCTTGACACCATTCCCTTTGAACTACCACACTCCCTCACTAACCAGTTGAGCCAAATCGATATACCTACCTTATATAATCCTCAAGATTATGACCAAATATTCTGGGGCATCACACCTCATGGTCAATTTACAGTTCAATTACCAACTCCAAAACACACAGTTACCTAACAAATTCAAGTGGATTTGAGCAACACATCTCACACCAAAATATAAATATTTTCTCTGTTTAATTGGACACAATCGCCTACCAACCAATGTTTATCTATACAAATTACACATCACTACATCCACATTATGTCAACTCTGTCACCTACAAGACGAAAATACCAATCATTTACTACACGTCATCTGTGGCATTCCCTTGGCCTCTCTCCCGTAACCCACATATTGGGAACAAACAATGCATCTCCTTTGACAAACATTAACACACTTCTTCATGTCAAACACCCAATGCCCCACAATATTCCACTCACTCTCCTATTAACATACGCTCTCTGGCATATATGGAATTGCCGTAACAAAAAAATCTTTGAAAATAAAATGGACACTCCAAATCCTGATAACATCATTTCGCACGCGGCAGGATACTACTACCTTACTAAAAAAGGAGTCCCACAATCCTCCACATGCTATATCTATCTAAAATGGCATCCACCACCTGAAGCTTTCTATAAACTAAATACTGATGGCTCCTCACAAGAAACACAACATAGGAATGGTTAATTCGTTGGGGGGAGGGGGGGGGGGGGGTGATTCGTAATTCCACAGGAAATTGGATAATGGGCTTTACTGGGAGAAGCACAACGGGGAACTCTACTCACATGGAACTCTGTGCTTTACTAGAAGGTCTATACATCGCTTGGCGCCACCATTTTACTCCACTGGAAGTCAATGTACACTCCATCGAGGTAACATCTTTTCTGCACAATCACAACATGCAATATGTATGGGTCAGAATCCGACCCCACGATAATTAACGAAATTAATCCCGTCTTAAACTAATTCATGATTAATAAGTGGTACGACCACTCAGAATTAACGGTATTTAACCTTTATCTGATTCGATCAACAAGGCCACGGCCCATCCGCCACCATGATGGCGAAATCCCAACGTGGTCACGGCCACTTATTGCCAGCTCACGAAGCTCACAGCTATAAATACCAAGAGAGGAAACCCTAGAAAGGGGACTGCTTCTTGGTCACTATCCGGGAGAAAGAGGAAAAACACAATGATACTCATATTATGAGAGAGTAGAACACCATTGTAAGGCTCTGAACCTCTCAGTAGAATACCATTGTAAGGCTCTGAACCTCTTCATGGAGAGGCAGACCAAATCAACATTATCGATAAAGGATTTTAATGTTCCTCCTCCTAACTCTGAGTACTTATTTTCGTTTCCTTCATTTGGTCCAATGGATTATTACGGTTTGCTATGATTTTTCCGTGATTTATTTATATTATTTTATACTCATAAGGTATGTGATAACTTTTGAGCAAACAATTTGGCGCCGTCTGTGGGGATTTCCTAGCAAAATCGCGTAGTTCTTCCCTGGACCAAAAAGGAAGAAACGCCAGAAAAGGAAAACAAAAGCAACCCAGCTCAAACAAGCCAAAGCGGCATGTCGGACAAGGGGAACTCGAAGATCTCAAATCAAGATCCAAGTCCTCTCTCTCTCTGATCTCGGATAGTGCAAAAAAGAAGAAGAAGTCCCTCCTAAGGGAGAATCTCTGTAAGGCATCTACCGCATCCCTGATACGAGCTCCGCCCAGGAACCGGCACGGAGATATCTCGAGCCAAGAGTCTCCTCAAGACAGCCTATATACTCCGATTGGGAAGACAACGCATAAGCTGCTCAAGGTTTCGAATCAAAACCGAGCTTCGGCACTCGATACCCACAACGTGGGACTCAGGCTATGCGCCTTCGCCATCAAAGTTGACAAAGTTCAACAACAGTTGAACTGGGACTCAGGCTATGCGCCTTCGCCAGTAAGTTCAACTACGGTTGAACCAAGACTCAGGCTATGCGCCTTCGCCATCAAAATTGACAAAGTTCTACAACAGTTGAACTGGGACTCAGGCTATGCGCCTTCGCCACCAAAGTTGACAAAGTTCAACAACAGTTGAACTGGGACTCAGGCTATGCGCCTTCGCCAGTAAGTTCAACTACGGTTGAACCAAGAGTCAAGCTATGCGCCTTCGCCATCAAAATTGACAAAGTTCAACAACAGTTGAACTGGGACTCAGGCTATGCGCCTTCGCCGTCAAAGTTGACAAAGTTCAACAACAGTTGAACTGGGACTCAGGCTATGCGCCTTCGCCAGTAAGTTCAACTACGGTTGAACCAAGACTCAGGCTACACTACAAGAATATTAACTTTTAACGACCATTTCTTGACGAAATGACATGAGTCCGGTCGTTATAAATATACTTATGACGGCCAAATTTTTTTTCCTGTCGTTAAATCACTATTTCTAGTTCAGCTAGAATAATATGTGGTTGCTAGTATAATATCCGGTCGTCAATACTATAATAAAATTAACCCAAAAAAGCGCGCATGTTTCCCTCAATTTTTCCCCACTCACCCCTCTAAATAGATTTAAAAAAATAAAGAAAAACCTCAACACAAACAAAACGGCTTAGCAGTAGAAACTGCCAAGTCTTCATCTCGCAGCCTCAAAATTCTCAATCATTATTAGGGTGTGTCTGTGTTTGAAATGTGTGGAATAAATTGTATTACCTGGGAAAATACTTTTTCTACTTACACGTTTTTTGTAATTTGATAGTGTCTTATGTTTTCACTTTATTTCTTATGTGTGGAATGTTTTGAATAAGCTTCAAAATTTCACTTGGCAGCGTAGGAATAAGATTGAGAGTCTGTTGCTACAAGTCAGAGACATGGAGATATTATAAGAGAGCGTCAGGTACGTTCTTGTTCAATTTTGGATTTCGTCTCTGCACTTCTTGCTTTTGTTGTGATGTTTAATTTTTTGAAGTTTGATTCATCTGCGATGGTTGTGTTAAATTGTTGAAGGTTTACTATCATTACTTAGCCCTAATTGTTTTGGAATCTATTGAATCTATTGCAAGTTTAACTGTTATATATAATTGTCCATACAATTGCTCACCAACTGTTCGACTAATTTGCTGAATGAATATTAGAGCCTTAGAACTAGCATCTTTCAGCCCCACTGCTAAACAACTTTTTCCAGTCAATAGTTTTTGCAATACACATTTTAATTTTCAGCAATACATAGTTAAATAAAGAAATATAATATCTTCTCAAAATTTTGATTAACTACAAAATGTTGTACTATATAGCAGCATAACTGCATTGTAAAGGCAACATCAGATGCGTTAGATATCAAAAAAGTAGGGTAACATGAGTATTGAAAAGGGAAATAACAATTGAATACAATTGTGAAAGATCCTAAGATCCATCTTCTTATAAAAAGTCAAATACTATAGCATTTGAAATACTACCATAGTTAGCCAAGTTCAATAAGTAACAATTTTTTAGCTAAAAATTGACACGTTGAAAAGTGACGCAAATAAGGTGAGAGCACAACAATTAATAGAACAAATGCATCTGTAATGCAAGCTTTACATTCGTTTTAAGACTTTAGTACTCATGGTAATTCTATTTTTCAGTGGATAACGTCTTATAATAAGGTAGAGCAAATCAAACACATTTAGCAGCAAAAGAGAACAGTTATAGGGATCGTCAAAGCGAAAGAACTTTAGTCGTCATGAGCATGTTGCAAATGATTTTTTTCGTTAATTCCTTTCAATTGGGATCCTTTTTCGACTTGCCTTTTATTTTAGGAGAGTTTAAAAATATATTTTGAGGCTAATAAAAGTGTTTTTAAAGCTAACGGTTGTGATGCTTCATCGTCTGAGGAGAGTGATGACTCTAGTGAGAAAGGACAATCTTGTATTTATTTTTGGAATCTATGTTGTTCTGCTTTTATCATTGAATGATCATTCCACTACTTAGAGGAAAGTAATGTCTTCGTAGTGCTAGTGGAGTGTATAAAGGTGGAGTTCCCCTCCTAACTAATATCAGTTTACAGGAATGCAAGGGATTCAATGAGCACAAAGTTCCGCAGAGTTTTCCTTCGTGGTGCACACCCCTTTTGAACCAGAAGGCATTTTAGGGTAGCATTTCTGTCCTTAAACATTTCCCTTGGTTCCTGTGAGTTATGCAACTTATTCATGATCCTATCTTTGCCAATCTAGGCATTCTTACAAGTGCACATCTTTGCCCATGACACCACTTTTTCCATCTATTATCTTTTTACAGTTCAGTAACAGCTGTTGTTGCCTGCATTATTGGACTCCAATATGGTCATATTCTTGTTCAATTTCAGGTGACCTATGTGGTATCGTTAGTTGTCTTATTGATGCATTGTGAATGTAGATGAAGTTCTTTTTTTGGAAATAGTCAGGGAAATGCCTTTAAGGTCTGCGACAATTGAATGGCCTTTTCGTTTGTTTTGGCTTCCATTAGTAGCTACTTGCTGATGTAGTTTCTACTACTTGACGAACTTTTTCCAATATTATTTTGACATATTTTAAAAGAACTGCTACAAGAATTATGGTTTCACTATCATATTTTTAGTATGTATTTCTTTAGTGGTAGTAGAATTTTAGAATAAAAAATTAAGCTATATCAAATAGCAGTATATATTCTGAATGAAGGGAATTATTAATGTTCATTGATGCATATTTACATGCATAGAATTATATTGCCAGTTAAATTACTCTATTCAATGTATGATCAATTGATATCTCTATGTTAACTGTGTTCAGGATCATAAAGAAAGGCTATACAACTGGTCCATCCTCTTATTTCCACTTCTGTTTCTTGGTCTCTTCCTTGCTGTGACAGATATATCTATCTATTCTTTTTTCAGGTACTAAGTCAAATCCCTTTCGTTCACACGGACAAACTATAACACCTTGGTTGCTATTTATGAAAAATAATCTCTAGCTTTTCTTTTTATTTTTCTTTTTCCCTTAAAGAAAATTAAGAAAACCAATACATACAATCCCAACAATAACAACAACCCAGTAGAATCCCACTAGTGGGTTCTGCAGAGGTTAAAGTGTACGCAGATCTTACCCCTACCTCGGGGGGTAGGGAGGCTGTTTCCGGAAGACCCTCGGCGGCTCAACAGACGAAACAATAATATCAGAAAAGAGCAAAAGAATAAATCCATAACAACAAAAGAAACTAAAATAATAATAATTAGCATCGAAAGAGAGCGCAAATAAGTGGAAGGGCAATAACCCCATACTATGAAAACGAGAGAAATAGTGTGCACACAACAAAAGCCGCTAGCAGTCCTAGGCAAAACTCTATCAGACTAGTCGGTACAAAGAGGGAAGACGCTCGACTACCCCCTAACCTACATTCCTAATGCTCAATCTCCACGCCTTCCTATCAAGAGTCATATCCTCGGAAATCTGAAATCGCGCCATTTCCTTCCTGATCACCCCAATACTTCTTAGGCTGCACTCTACCTCTTCTCGTATATACACCATGGCACCTCCCTTTGAATATGGTGTGCAAAACATACAAGCCCCTACGTTGAATAATTGTAACATTTTTTCATATAAAGTATAGATTCTAATTTCCCAGACTACGTCCATGTTTTCACTTGTGATTCCTATCCCTATGGAGCATCAGATTATCAATTTGAGTCGTTAACAAATTGGTTGTAGTCATTCTGACATGTGAAGTTGGTGTTTGTTCTCCTTTCAGGTGTGCCATTAAACAAATCGTTGTACACCATTAGTTATCTGCTGGTAACTTCAGCCGCTGCTGGAATCACATTTTATTTCCTGTATGTATTGGTGAGTTTTGAGACTACAAGTCGTTAACAACTTTTAGTTGCATACGATTTAGGTCATACTGAACAACTTTCCAACTCAATTGAAAGTTATACTGATGTTATATGATTTAGGTCGATATGTATGGTTGGAGGCGCTTGATGTTCGCTTTAGAGTGGATGGGGAAGCATTCTCTTGGTATCTTTATTCTCATAATATCAAATGTAGCTATATTCAAGGATTCTATAAGTTACTCAATTCTTTTCCATATCTCCAGGGGGGTATAAATAAGGGAACAAAGTGTTACATGCCTCAAATAGGAATTATGTGGCCTATGCCTTATCACACTGTACATGCGGATAACTTGTTAAATGTGGTCTGCTTTGCTTCGTTTTAGTAAATTGTTATTTATGTCACATTTACTTGGTAATGCCTTCCAATGTTTATGGTCATTTTCTGATATGTGGATCCAATAAAACTTTTTGCATTCTTTTTAAATTTAAAAGAATACCTGCAAGATTAAAATTTGACCGAAAACGCTCAACTTTTTGGATTTGCTGGTTATGGTATCCTACAAATTGTGTTTGCTTTCTTTATGGTTAATCTTCATGTTGTGGGAAAGTGAAAAAGAGGAATAAGTAGTAGCTATTAAGATTTTTTTTATTGGACTGATATGAATTGGTTCTCTTAACAGATTAGAAAACTGAAGTCTGAAGAACCTGTCCGTGAAGAAAGTCCAGAGAAAGTAGCTACTGAAAATGCTAAAGAATAAGTTGAACTACAAGAGGAGCCTATTTTCTCTTTTGTTAGGATTTGTTTAAAAATATTTCCAATTGTAATGCTACAATTCTATTTTCTATTTTGTTAGGAGTCGACAAATATATGGTCCATTTTGGATAGGTATATTTTTGGTAATGTTTTACTTTTTGTTCCTTGTAATTAACGGTGAAATTTTATATGAATATCGATTCTTTCTTATGTTCTGGAGTGACTGTGTGCATATAGGTTTTTATATATCATTATAATAATATTTAATAGAAAATTAGTGATGGTAAAAGCATGTTACTAAATCACTTGTATTAGTTGGATTTGTTGTCACCACTAAAGGTTTTTAACGATCGGAACAATAATTAGCGAAGGGAAAATTCAGTCGCTAAAAATAGTTATAACGAAGGGATTTTTTGTTGTCGCTAAAGGATCTTTAACGACCGGTTTGAAATCCGGTCGTGAACTTTTAACGTCGGAGCTTTTAACGACCGGTACCGACCGGCTTTATTTCGGTAATAGCGACCGGATTAGGACTTTTAACGACCAAATTTCCCTTCGCTAAAGGCCTTTTTTCTTGCAGTGCTATGCGCCTTCGCCATCAAAATTGACAAAGTTCAACAACAGTTGAACTGGGACTCAGGCTATGCGCCTTCGCCATCAAAGTTGACAAAGTTCAACAACAGTTGAACTGGGACTCAGGCTATGCGCCTTCGCCAGTAAGTTCAACTACGGTTGAACCAAGACTCAGGCTATGCGCCTTCGCCATCAAAATTGACAAAGTTCAACAACAGTTGAACTGGGACTCAGGCTATGCGCCTTCGCCAGTAAGTTCAACTACGGTTGAACCAAGACTCAGGCTATGCGCCTTCGCCATCAAAATTGACAAAGTTCAACAACAATTGAACTGGGACTCAGGCTATGCGCCTTCGCCATCAAAGTTGACAAAGTTCAACAACAGTTGAAATGGGACTCAGGCTATGCGCCTTCGCCAGTAAGTTCAACTACGGTTGAACCAAGACTCAGGCTATGCGCCTTCGCCACCAAAATTGACAAAGTTCAACAACAGTTGAACTGGGACTCAGGCTATGCGCCTTCGCCATCAAGGTTGACAAAGTTCAACAACAGTTGAACTGGGACTCAGGCTATGCGCCTTCGCCAGTAAGTTCAACTACGGTTGAACCAAGACTCAGGCTATGCGCCTTCGCCATCAAAATTGACATTCAACAACAATTAAACCAAGACTCAGGCTATGCGCCTTCGCCATTAAATCAAGGCTACGCTCTTTCACCAGTAAGTTCAACTACGGTTGAACCAAGATTCAGCCTATGCGCCTTCGCCATCAAATCCAACGAGTTCGACCTCGGTCGAACCATAAGGCTAGACGCCTTCGTCCTCAAATCTAACTAGTTCAACCACAGTCGAACCGGGACTCGAACCAAGCGCCTTCATCGTTGAACTCAGCAAAATCCAACCCCCAACGAATCGAGGCGCAGGTTAGGCACCCTCGCCCTTCAAGTAAGTACTCCCAACTCAAACTAAGATTGGGGACACGTAAAGTCCGGCCCCGGTCAAACTACAAGGCCGCGTTTTCTATCATCACGGTCGACAGTTTGACCGCGCCCGAACTGGGACTAAGGCTAAGTGCCGCTATCTCCAAGCAACGGCTCCGACTCGCTCACCCCGAGTCGAAGAAGAAGAGTCGTCAACAATTAAAAACTAACATGCCTACCAGAGTCAAACTCGAAGGCAAATCACCCCTTCAAGTGCATGCAAAGAAAAATCTAAGGGGGGAAAAGAGGAGGTACAGAACAGATACAAGGCAAATAACGGAAAGGAGATCTCATTTATCCACGAAATTAATTGCGGGTCATCCCTGCTTACACCCGGCCAAGGCCGATCAATACAAGGAAGAAAAACAAGAAACACCTAAAACGCCAAACGGCGAACAAGATAAGAAAAAATGCATATCGTTTTACTCGGCGCCATCTGCGCCACCATCTGCACCAGCGTTAGCCTTTGGCGTCGCCGCGTCAAAACCACAGTCGGTACGGGCCTCACGAGCCTTTTGATGCGCTCCCTCAAAAGCAGCTTCGGTCACGATGCCGGCCTCCCACAAATTCTTATATACATCACGTTGGGCCTCGGCAAAGACCCAAAGTTCGCGAGCTGGGCTGGAAGAAGCGGCTTGGTCCCATAGGCGCTGATTCTCTTCTTCTAAGGCTGTAATCCGGTCCGCCATGACTTGCGCGTCCTACTCAAAGACACCGATCCGCTCCTCGAGACTCGCTTCTCTAAAGGCCGCAGCAGCCCTCTCCAACGCCCGTTGGGACTCGTGCACGCGGATAGCTTCCTTCAACGCCCCGGCCCTCGATGAGGCATCCCTTACCTGAAGCTGCAAAGCTGCGATTTCACCCTCCAACGCAGTCACTTTCCCGCCCCATGCCGCAGCGGCCTCCGCCGCCTTAGCCTGGCCCTGGCGCTCACACTCAGGTACAGCCCTCTTTCCCGCCTCGAGCTCCTCATCCTTCCGACAGAGCTGCTCCTCGAGAGCACTCGTTCTGCCAAGTGTTTGCTGCATCTGAAGCTCCCGCCTCGCCAGTTCCTCGACCAAGGCCCGGCTACGGGTATCATTCCTCAAGCGCACGCGCAACTCTCGGCACCGATCTCGGTAGCGGCGATACTTCTCCAGCACCCGCAAAAATATCCCCGAGCGGACTTTGGCTCGACGGATGCTCTCCACCTCCAACAAATAAGACTGCAAAGCAAAGACAACGATTAAGATAAAGAACAAACTAAGGCAAAGAAGAAGCGAACCGACGTCATAGTACATACCCTCAAGCCCATCACGGCCACTTCATTCATCAGTCTGATATCCGTAACGTCCCTCAACGACGCATTCTCGGCCTCTAAGCATAGCAGCTCAAACTGCGGGACCAAGCTACTCCCTTGGAGCAATAAGTTCAGCTCCGTGGGAACCTCGACGAAGCGAGACCGCCCACCAGCGAGGTAGAACCACCCGCCGTAGCCACCGAAGGAGCGCTTGCCTTACCAACATTAGAAGCCGCTGAGGAACTACCTCCCGTCTCAGCGACTGGAACCACCAATTGAGTCGCCGAAGCGACGACATCATCACGGCATAAGCCAACCGGGGCAACCCCCATTGCGTGTCCACCCTCAGGGTCAGGCGCCGCAGCCACACTCCGCTCCGCATCCGCCGGGGGGGAGTCCAAATTAATTACCACAGGAGGAGCCGGCGTGAACACGACCCTACGCCTTATCAATGGCCTCTCCTCCTCCCCATCTTATGGCGATTCCGCTCTAGGGCGCACAACCCCCTATGGCCCCTCGTCCCGAAGTGCGGCCCGTGCTGGAGAAGGAACCGCTGAAGATTCAACTGATGCCGCCCTCGGTATTGGGCGTGACACCGGCGCTGCAGTAAGCCGAGCAATTGCACCCGGCCGACGGAAGGCCAACTGAGGGGCCCTGACGCGGCGTGCCCTCCCTGATGACAGAAAAACAAAGTTGATGAATAGAGTTAAAACAAAGCGGAACAGAAGAAGAAATTAATTTTTTACCTGCCACAGGCCTACGGCCATGCCTCTCCCAGAAAGACGCCCATGTGCGTATCCCCACCGTATGGGGGAGCACGGCCTCAACCCACTCACGAATCCCAGCCAACGGAGCCGGCGACAACTTTTCGGCTACAAAATTGATACGAGTTAACGTTTATGAGCACAAGACATAAGGAGGGGCAGAAAAGGGAATTCGACGATTAAAGAACTTACGTGCATGATTCCAAGCCTCTGGGAACCCAGTAGAACACGCCACTAAATGTTCAGTCCTGATGTAGAAGAAGTGCTCGAAAGGGCGAGGGTCGACCTCATCATCCAGTTTCACAGTCAGGCCCCTCATCCCGCGAGGGCACGCTCGAATCATGGTACCACGAACTCTCTGGGGAGCGTAGAGGCTAAGCACATGCTGTAGCGTGACCTCCCTACCGGCCAGTTCTGCACATTTGATAAGCATTGCTAATAATTTGTATAGAGAAGGAGCAAGCTGACCCGGGCATACCCCGTAATAACGACAGAAATCAACCACTAGCATTGGGAGCGGGAGCTTAAACCCCAACTTGAAGGGATAGGCGTAAAAGACGCAGTATCCCCTGCGGTCGGTGTGGACCCTCTCCTCGCTTCTAGCGAGAACGACGTCAGCATAGCTGGGGATGACCCCCTATCCCCGTAGTTGGGCCATCCCAATCTCCCCCATGAACGGGGCTTCATCCACCTGATCCTCCCCACCATCGGCGGTGAAATCAGTCATCGGACCTCCGGGCAGAGATACTATCTCGTCAACCGATGGAGCTTCATCGGTCTCCACCAGTTCTACACCGCCCATTGCCGGAGATGGCCCTTCAATCACCGGAGAGTTAACCGGAAGATCCGTCGGAAGAACGTTTTGGGAAGAACTGCCTGCCATTGTTGATTCAATAACGAGAAAGAAACAAAGTTTGAGGGACAAAGACGGAAGTTATAACAATCGAAGAACAAAGATGAAGGTGAATTAGCAGGGAGAAAAGCTTCTTCAGAATCTCTCTCAGACAAACAATGAGAATATAAAAAAATGAATGAGTCAGCCCTTATTTATAAGCAGCACAAGTGGCTTTCACAAGCCCCAATAGCCTTCATTAACTACATGACCAACCGCAAACCGATTCGGTTCTGTAGAAACGTGCGTCATTATGACAGGCTCCATGAAGCGGCTTTTCAGTCACCAACCGGCGTCTCACCTGCGAAACGGTTGCAACAACCCATGAACGCCGAGAGGATGTTCCGTGCGCCTTCAAAATGATGGACGTCGCGAAACACGTATCCAGCGTACCCCTACTCCCTTCGGCTACACAACATATGACCCGTCCACCA